TTACCTTTCTAACTATTAATAAATGGTTAATTAGTAGTTAATTAAGTTAGCAGTGTTAGTTAATGGTTTGTTAACACTGTGAATTGTGACCTAAACTAAAGTGTTGCAGCATTTATTTTTCTCTGTTTAACTCTAGCTCTTTTTTATAAAGATAAAAAGCTGATGTGTTATGTTTTATACAATTCTTCAATTTGTTAAATTTGAGTGGGTGGGGCTAAATATTTAGATTTTTTTTTTTTGTTGCAAAATTTATTTTGCATCTATTTATTACTGAGTATATTCAACCCTTTGATGCACAAGCTATAAAAACCCCTTCAAATGCACAACATGGGTCTGAAATGACTTATATTCATTTGATTTTATTTTATTCTTCCCTGGGATTTTTTTTTTTTTTTTGGCTTTATCTTTTGAAAACAATTTATTTCAGCATTATATATTAATTTTTCCATGAATTTAATTATTCATCAATTTTCAAAAATTATTTTTTTCATGTAGCGCAAATAAATTATTTATTTTTTCTTAGGTTTGTATTACAACATCAAGTTTACATACATGGGTCACACCACCTATGTAATTAGGGTGTTTGGGCAAAGTTTAGGGTGGTGACATCCAGTATATTGTACCATAGCATGTGCCTTGTGGCTTCTTGCTCTACATTGAGTAGGGTAATGCTTGCTCCTGTAATACCCTAGTTGTCTACTCAGTCCAGCAATTCCAGATTGACCCTGTGACACGTAGTCTAGAATCTAGATAATCAGCATCAGATATTTCAGACTCTGAATCAGAACTAAGAATTCCCCTAATCTGCCTCATCCTGCAGAACCTCTACAGGCATTTCAGCCATAAATATAGAATGACTGGCATGAGCCATACTAACACTCTGTAAAAGAAATCCAAAGCACAAGAATATTTGTCTATCTATCTATCTATCTATCTATCTATCTATCTATCTATCTATCTATCTATCTATCTATCTATCTATCTATCTATCTATCTATCTATCTATCTATCTATCTATCTATCTATCTATCTATCTATCTATCACAAAATATATCTTTCCATCTATAAATTAAATATATACATAAAACCATTTTTCATACTTACAAGCATCAGATAGAGATAGAGTTGTGAAACGTGCCAGGTGAACTGTATTTAGCAGTATATGGTTCTTTTTTGCCACAATTATGAAACAGCAAAGGTTCCTATATGGGTCATTTTTGACACTTATTTTAAAATTGTTGTACAAATACAAAAACTGTACTAAACATAAGTATTTTTGTGAGTGTAAAATAAAATGTTTTATGAAAACCTGTAATTGTAAACAACAAAATGCAAAATGCAGCCATGATTAAAATAACATAGGAAATGAATGAGGGTCATTTTAGACCCATGGTAGTGAAACAAAAAGGATTTTTATTCAAAAAGTAAAAAAGAAAAAAACAACAGGCTTTGTGCTGATGAAAAACAATTTTATCGAATAATTCCTGGAATACTAAGTGACGAAGTTCAAATCTTGCAAAGATATAGAAAAAATGAACTTAGCCGGGTCACTTTAGACCCATGTTGTGAATCAAAGGGTTAATTTAGTTTAGTATGCTGTTTCTGATTTAATTTAATTAAATATTAGTTAGTGTGATTAAATTTTAGTGAGTTGGTTAAAAAATCTCTTTTTTTACTATTTTTATTGGTTACTCCAATTTATCAAATTTAAGTGGGTGGGGCTAAAAAAAAAAAAAGCTCTTGGTGTGTTTTGTTAGCTACAAATGTGGTTTGTCCAATTGGGGAGGCTGGAACAAAAAAAGACAGCGACTGATAAATCAAACTGTAATTGGTTCTTTTTTTGCTGAGACTAATTAGACAAATTGAAAAGAGCAGTGCAAAAAAAAAAAAAATGTCAGCGACTCTCTGATTGGTTCAATTTAAGTGGGTGGATCTAAAAAAATCACTTTTTTTGACTGACTCTGATTTGTCGGAACTGAGTGAGTGGAGCTTTCCAGGAATATCAGGTTATTTAAGGTTGCATTTAAGTTATGACGTCAATTGACCAAAATTTAATGTCTGGCCAGCAGTGGTGGAAAGAGTACTGAAAAATCATAAGTAAAAGTACCACAACTTGTCTAAAAAAATGTATTGCAAGTAGAGTAAAATTATCTGTTGTAAATATTACTCAAAGTATGAGTAAAAAGACCTTTTAAAAGTACTCAAGAGAGTAGTGAGTATTATGCTGTAAAAAGCTTATGCGTTGACATGTAATTTGTGGATGTGTGTAAACGTAATATTCTGTAGTGCCTTTAATTATTGCCCAGCAGGCACACAACGTCATAAGACGTTAATATTAGGTTACATTTAGGTTGTGATGTCAGGTGACCAAAATTTAAGTCTAGCCAGTGTCCAAGGACAACGTTATTTTGGTGCACAATAACGACATCAAATGATGTTGATATTTGGTTGATTTTAGGTTGTGTTAGAAAGTGGCCAAAATCCAACGTCGAGCAAGCATCTTATACCAACGTCATTGACGTCAAATACTGACATTTATTTGTAAGGTATGACAACCAAAAACCAACGTCTGATAGACGTCATAATGGTAACATCCACACAATGTGAAGCTGAAACATCATTAGACATTGATATTAGGTTAATTTTAGGTTGGATGTTGGACATGGACGTCAGCCTGACATTGGGTTCTGACATCGGCCTGATGTTGGGTTCTGACGTCAACCTGATTTTCATTTCCAAACAAAATGCAACGCCCCCACGATGTTTGAGGTACAACATCAATCTGACACCATGTTGACGTCCTGTGCCTGCTTGGTGTGTTTGTCTTCTTTTTGGTCAAAAATTTAACATGGCAGATCTTAAAAGTTTTTTTTTTGTTATAAGATGTTAGAAGCCAGACTTTTGGGAGTGCTCATCCCTTCAACTTTTTCCACTTTGCAATGAGTTCTTTTTATCTTGTGAAATCATTTATCAACATTATGACATGTATTTGCGTTGGAAGCACACTGAGTCTCTTTTTCCCTCTTTAACAAATTTCTCAGCTGCTCAAGACCACGGCGACACAGCAAGAGTCTTTACCCCTAGTGGTTTTGTTGGCGTGAGTTGAATAAAGGAGTAATAAAGTAGACCTGCATTCATTTGAATAGCATCTAAAACCATACAGGCGGCAGCCAAGCTAATCAGGAAAAAATTCCAGACCCATAAACACACACTTATGATTTTACACGTGCAGTAATAAGTAAACCATTACTGATGAATCACATCGACGATTATAGTTACACACTCCTTAGTAACATGAACTCCATAAACAACAACATTGTCTGTAAATGTGCTCAAAAGCTGTAATTTGAGCACTGCTTAGCTTAACGGTGTGATTTGTGTATTGAAACAACACCAGACCTGTGACTCTCAGCAAGCCACCAGACTTGTGTATTTAGTTTTGGGATGGAGAAGATAATTCTCTTTACAGGACCCAGAGGGCTGAAGCTCTCTAAGAAGAGGAGTGCGATTGCGTGTTCAATCTGTACTTCTGGCGACTCCACCTAAACACTTAAGACACTTTGTGTTTTACACCTGTGTTGACACTGGCAGCACTCCCTTTTTCAATAGAAATCGAAAGTTTACTCCACCCGAACGTGTCTACGATGTGCACGATTCTGATAAACACTGCATTAGTGTAATTCTGCATTACAGAGGCGTGCACAGTTAATGATGACACAGCTGACAGGACGAGAGATGCTGTAGATATAGGAGGACACGGCATGTTCAGTCATACCTGAAATCACTGGGATGCATCGTGAACTTGCCATCAACCCCAGTCCAACCTAGAGAAGGAATGCAAATGTAATGTAATCTAATGGCTTATTCAGTATGTCTGAGAGTTGTTTTCATGTCGGCTCAGAATGCCGCTGCAACTGTATGACCAATAAATTAGGCAATGGTTTTACAAGTTTTGCTGCTGAATGATGCAGAAGGATTGCGGGATTTACTGATAAATGATGCAGGGTTTATGACTCACTACTTCAGTGAGGTTGACTCAGGAAATCTGATTGTATAAACATCTATCAAACTGCATAGATTTATTCATTTAAACAGTTTTTGTTATAATTGACATCACAATAAATGTATATAAAATGTAAAATTTATGTAAAACATGTAAAGAGTGTAAAACAAAAATGTAAACAACTATAAATACCATTAATACAAATTACTGTATTAATGTACAACACATTACTTTACATATATAACATCATTACATTTTACAGTCCTATATAATTTTAAAATACTTTTTAAATATAGTTCACATATAACATTTTGTAATATTTTGAGTTATTTGTCCATATATAATTATTTATTATAATTATTTATTATCATTATTTAGTAATAATATTAATTTTGATTATGTGATTGACACTTTTATATTGATTATATACATTTTAACATAAACGTCGCAGAAAAAAAAAATATATACACATACATATATATATATATATATATATATATATATATATATATATATATTTTTTTTTTTGATTATGTGATTGACACTTTTATATTGATTATATACATTTTAACATAAACGGCGCAGAAAAAAAAAATATATATATGTGTATATATATATATATATATATATATATATATATATATATATATATATATATATATATATATATATATATATATATATATATATATATAGAAAGCTACTTTAAAGCAAAATAGATTCTGGTTATCTTAAAATGTTTTAAGAAAGCACAATTGATCATGATTTCAGTGTGTATACTCCAATATTTTGCCAGCCACTGTGGTTACCATAGTAAATGTTTTGAAGGCAATGAAAGATTTACAGTTTCCCATAACTCGCGCTGTTGTTCCGGTCTCTCTCTCGTTCTCTGTGTGCGCCAGGAGGAGTGTCGCCCCGCGCGGAAGGCAGGAAGCGGCGCGTGGGCTCAGTGTCACCGCCTGCGTCACACGCCAGGAGGGAGTTTTCCACTGACGAAAAGACTGCGCTGCTCCGCGTCTGCTTCAGACAAGAGGAACAGCTTCAGCTGCCGCTCCAGTCCGCCGAGCGCACAATAGCCGCACGAACACAACGGGATCTCTTTACGGATAAACGCGCGATCGCATCTCTTGGATTATTACAGCTTCATCTTTTCCTAGATAGTGATTTACTAATGCTGATCGGACACGTTATTGGTGAGTAGCGGAGCTCCGCGCTGTTTAACGCCGCACTTGTAATGTGTCTAATAGGCAAACCTCGGATCTGGAGTCCAGCCAGATAGTTTCAATGTTCTTTTGTCGGCCAGTGTAAAGAGATAAAATGTGTTGTGTAACTATTTCAAGTAGCAAATCCAGAGGACATTGTTGTATACTGTCGTGGCAGAAAAAAAAACTAACTAAAGTTATTAAGCCATTGTCTTGCGTTTTAATTGTGTTATAATAAACTCTGGTAAGCTTAATTAATTTAATTTCTGGTGCTTTAATGTAAACCGTTTTAAGTGTGTAGATCGGTCTAAATATTCGCGGGTTTTATGCTTTTTTCTGTCAGTAATTTTGATTGGCAGTGTTTGCTGGGTTTTAATAAAAGATAGCCTTATTCTCATAAGCAGCTGTTGGCGGTTCTGATCGGATCCATTGGCAGAATTCCAGGATAGTGGACCGTATGTGTGTGTATCCGATAAGCCGTAATTGCTAGTTTGAATGTGTGTGAGTGTTGAGTGCATTCCTCGTTCACGTTTATAGCGCTGGTGTAGCCTATCTTCTGAAGCGCGAGCGACTCCTTAAGGTGCCACACCGCATCAGTTCAGTAGTCTGCATGCAGATCTGCGCTCAGCCTCATATGCACTTCCAGTCCTCGATGACGTCACCGAGGGTGCATACAAGGCTGAATGCAGGTCTGGGGGAGACCTTACTTGATCCGATCCAAACTTCAGCTGGTCGAACCGGTATTTGATCAATAGCCTATAAATGGCTTTTACAGTGCTATTTTATTTGGCTACATTTAAAGGCGCACATAACCAATTGCCTATAATTCATTCACAAAGAAAAGTGTTTTTTATTTATTTATTTAAAAGCAAGCAAAACAGTCTCCCCAGGTCATTTGATAATTGGTTTGATTGACAGTCAATCACGAGGCAACAATCACCAACACGTTGTGCTCTGCGTGATTGGGATAACTGAAGTAAATTAATATTCTCATTCCACTCGGTTTGTTACAATCTCACGGCATTCCTTTTGTCAGGTAATTTTCAATTCCTGACTGTGAGCACATTGAATGTTTGATGGTGGGATTCATTGAGCTTGTTATGTAAATTTTAGTTCAATAATTTCAGTATTTTTTGAAGGCACGAGCGCAGAAGGGTGTGTTATGATGATGATGCTTGTATATTTGTGGCTGTGTCGTAAGTTTGAGTGTGTTTATTTTGCGCGTGCTTCTGTGTGAACGAGCGCGCAGTCGCTGTCACGCGCGACCTCACTCGGATTGTTTGTGGGAACACAAGTCGGATTTTTTCTGGTGTTTTTGTTGACATACCTCACACATTTAGGGGATTTATATTCTTAAAACGAGCTTAGTAAGTCCATTAGCGTTTTATTTCATTTAAAATGCTTTTGCACTACCCTGTGGTAAACTGTTTACAAGTGAGACTTTTTATTCCCATAACCTGCGATGTTGTTTTGAATTCAAGTGCACGTTAAACTAATCAAACAGGACCATAAAAGATTGTATTGTTTACTTACTTCTGGGTTGATGAGGTGTGAACTTGCACGTGTTCCAGAGTCAGTGAAATCACTCAGCTGGTTAAAGTAGCATGTCTGGATAGTTTCCTCCCTCTTCCTATTTAAATCCAGTCATGCTTTGAAAAAATTGAGATGATGCCGTCATAATTGGTGTACATCACAACATGTCATTTTTATTAATCTCCCACCCACAGGCAGGGTGTTTTTATTTGGATAGATATGTGTGTGGCTTTTGTGCAATAGTATTGGGGGGGGTGTTGAAGTCCTGATGTCTCTAAAACCGAGAAGCAGAGGGAACCCATCTGTTTTGTCACTCTCCAACATTCCTCCCAGCTTGTGAGGTACCAGCAAGTGCCCCAGACGTAAGCTGATGACCCCTGGGCTCCCCCCATCCTATAGACGCACACATATACTCTCCCTTGTGAGTCCCGAGAGACTGGTAAAGATGGCTAGTATTTGTTTTTGTCACCATTAAGTTAGTCAGAACAAACTCATACAGATGACTTCTCAAGGAACCTACACTTTGCGGACTGTGTTGGAAGTTTGCATTTCGGATATTGATGCAAATTGCTGCATGTGGAAGTATTTTCTTTCAGTTTTGGCAATTTCCTGAGCAGTCAGAGTTTCTATTCGTTGACATAAACCAGGAGCAGTGATTCTCTCGAAACTGTTAAATAACTTTAGGAGGGTGTTTTGAGATGTTTTTCTTATGGCTCTTAGCATAATTTAGATGACCTTTAGATGGTGATCTTCATAATAATTAATAATCGGTTCATCGTCATGTGAGGGACCCCCATCCTAAAAAGTAAACAACAGTATATGGTCAAACAGATCTGATTCATTTTGTTATTTTATAAAATGTTACATTTCCACCTCTCTGAATTCCAGTGTGAAATATTGTCTAAGTTAGAATTGGTACCCTTTTTGCTTAAATAACTTTTTAATTCAAATTGAAAACATGTCTATGGAAATGCGAAGTTTGATGATGTATTGAATCCATAGTGTAGCATGTGAGAGAAATCTTCATCTCCACCCTAATAACATCATCTCGTCAATATGACAATAACGTCATCATCTCTAATGATTCGCGACTCCATCAGGTGTTTGTGTCGGTGTTTCTGTCTGAGGTGGATCCTCTTGGGCAATAGTGGTCTGGACAATGCAGACACATCTGGGATAGATAGACTATTACAGAACGTGCCGCTATGCCAGAGTAGAATTCCTGTGGGCTGGAGACATCGCATTATTTATTTGTTTAAAGTTCTCGCCCGCTACCCTCCTCCCACATCAGTGCGCTCTCCTATTTGGGATGAATGTGTGCTCTGCATGGGTTGAGGCTCAGGAACAGAATGTCTCTGGCGTAGTTTAACATCTAGAGTGATGATCGGCACAACCACACATCTCCCTCCTCTCGCCTGACTGCAGTTTTTAAAGGCTGACCAGCAGAGGGAGGGTTTCTTATATTCTGCTGGAATTTGAATTCCAATACAATTATTGCAAGTGATTTTTTTTTTTTTTTTCACTAAATATTATTTATACTTGCGCTTTTTAGATAGTTAAGATGAGGTACACCCTGCACATTACTTAATCATCTGGATGGGTGCTGTGAGCTGGAGGGGCAAAGTCAACCCTTGCATAATGTTAGGTCAGGATTCCACTGTTTGAAGGTAGTTTAGACAATCGGCTCAGTGGTGCAAGTTGTTTTTATGCTTTGTAGAAGCAGGAAGGGAAGAAAAAAAGTGTTTCTAAAGTGATAGTTCACCCAAAAATATGACATACTCACCCTCAAATGGTTCCAAACCTTTATGACTTATTTTTTTTCTGTTGAACACCAATGTAGAAATGCTGGAGAAAGCTTAAAAACCTGTAACCATTGACATCCCTACATAGTAAAAATAACAAATACCATGGAAGTCAGTAGCTACAGGCTAACAGCTGTCTGCATTTGCGGGGAAAAAAAAATACTCACAGCGTTGGCTGTTTTCAGTTTTGGGAGAACTATCTGACTTGTGCTGACAACTGATAAATATCAGGCTTTAGCAGTTTGCTCCTTTTGTGGCTTTCTGCACTAGATTTATATCCACCGTCCTTGGTGACAGCAGCATTGAGAATACCTCATCAGAGCACTGCCTTTATTGGAATGGCAAGCTCTGCATAATTTATGCTCCAGTGTGAATGTCTCACCTGCTTGAAGCATCTGGGATACCTTGCCGATAACAGCTTCTGCCTGAATGGGAAATCCAGACTTGCTTAGTAGCGGATTTATGGCTAGACACTAGACAGTATGTTTTGACTGCTCATTTTTTATTTGTGGGGTTTCTTGCTCATATTTCCATTCACCGCTGATGTTGGAGTGCAACAGGACAAGCTCCAGATTGACCTCCAGCTGAGCCCCCCCAACATCCACCCCCTCTTTCTCTTGTTCCTGGGATTAGCTCGTCGTCATTGTTTCTGCCTGTTAAGCAAGATTAACAAATCAATGTGTCAGGTAGGCTGCAGTCAAGAGACAATGACCCACTTCCAACACCCAGGTTTCTCTCTCTCTCTTGCTCTCTCTCTCTCCCTCTCTTGCTTGTCTTCATCTCTCCTATACTGTCCTCCCCCTCTCCTCACTGTCCAGAGTCCTTAATTAAAACTCCTCTGCTTGGTAGGCATGCATGTTGTCCTCAGGGAATTCTCTTTTTTTTTTTTTCTCTGTTAAATGAGGAGTAGAGATGGTGGTAGAATGTGAGGATAAACTGTGTCTGAGGGTATGTTTACACAACAACAGCATACTGAGAACATTTCTATGATTATTTCAGGTGGCAACTTTGTAAAGGCGATTCCCATTCACACCGATAAGCAAAAGTGGCATAATGCATAGTCCTGTAGTTCTGCAATGTTGTGAAGTGCTTATGCATTCCTAGAGACTGGACGAGTAATATATATGGACATGGCATCACTGTTTTTACAAAATCAATGAGATAGTGATGTATTGTAGTGATTTATGCTAATGTTCTTTAGATCGGTGTTTCTCAACCACATTCCTGGAGGACCAACAGCTCTGCACATTTTCCATTTCTCCTTAACCAAACACACCTGATTCAGATTATCAGCACATTAACAGAGACTGAAAGAACTAATGGGTGTGACAGACAAAGGAGACATCAAAAACACAGTGTTGGTGGTCCTCCAGGAACGTGGTTGAGAAACACGGATGTAGATGATGGTGGTATAGTTTTCAAAAATATGCAATTTGAAACCTGTTAGCATTGTCAGGGATTGGTTAATATATACACACACACACACATACACACACACATATATACATAGGGTTGTCAGACAGATATCCTCTGAGTCAGGTATCACTTCTGATAAACAGCAGAGACTCTTTGTGCAGGTGGTTTTCTTGCGCGAGTAGACTGCATCTGGAAACGTGTCTGTGGGAAACTGCGAAAGACAATTTACTAGTCAAATGAGCAGAGGATGAATTCGAAAAGGTTTTGAAGTCCTCCGTGCACTGAGTCAAGTGTCAGGTTCTCTTGTAATCATGTGCATTATCTAAAAAGATTTTCCTGCTGAGGTCTGTCGGCTTGCGGGTGTGAAAAAGCTGCTTGTTTTCAATCAAGACGTAGCATGTAAGGGTTCACGCTCCCTGCGCTGGCTCTGTTTGCATGCAAATGAGGACAGATCTGGACACATTCTGTTTGCAATAAAAATAGATCATGTTCTCAGCCTGCACTGCTGTTTTTAGGCAAGTCAGCTGTTTTCTGTGTCAATGTCTGTTTAAAACCCTTAACAGCAGCAGGTTCAAGTTTTAGCACATGGCACAAATGATTGCATAACTTTCCGAGTAAAGTTCCTCTAGACAGGGTATTAGTTGCTTTCAGAACTGGTGTTGCACGAGCAGATAAGTCTGACTGCAGGGAAGATCTAGTCGGCTTCAGAGGCAGATAAGACTCACCTTCTGCTTTCTGGCAGCAACATTTGGCAGCCGAGGAGACACGACTGAATGTGCAGACGGCACAGACGTGCTCTCAATGTCTGGCACGTTTGTGACGGCAGCACTAATGTGTGAATTGCACATGCTCAGAGAGAGAGAGAGAAAGATGCTCCACTTGTAAATAAAGCAACCTGTGGGAAAGTCTTGTCTGTCTGAAGATTATGGTTAGTTGGATGTTAAGTATATGTTTACCAGTAGTAATATTACATACTGGTAGTGGTAGTTGGCATGCACATTTAAAATCTGCTTAAATGTGTAGTTTAAATATTAAACATATAATTAATGCACAATATTGTTTGGTACCATTGTGCATTCTGATGGAAGATCAGATTGAATATCAATTAAGCATGATTAGTCACTGTGTTAATGTATTAAATGCTAATGCACTGTTGTAATGGTCAGTTTGAATGACCCTCTTCAATTAACTGAAGTATGTGTACACTTTGATAACGTTAAATGACGTTCCATTGGTTGATTAGACTTCTAGCAGACTATTAGCTTTTTAGTCACATTGCGTTAGTCACTCGATATGGCAGGGATGAATCAGAGCCATTTGGTTCTTCTTTTTTTGGTTGATGACATTGTAGACAAGCATCATGAGATGTGTAATCTGCCAGTCACGACCGTCTGTCGCTTTTTTTCTCAGAAAAGGCTGTCTTGCTGAGAAAAAGTTTTGTTCTGTGCCATCTATTTGCTTTTCATTATTATTAATTAATGTTCTAGTAGGGGAAAAACAACCTTGTTGTAGTTTAGTTAGCCTAGGATATAATTGACCCTCCTTATGACTCGGCCAATTTGAATTAGAGCTTTTAACATTTTGCTCAAGCAGAACTGAAAACTCTCATCTTTACATCAAACCCTCTCCTCCCTACTCTTCTTCCTTCCTTTCTGCCTGTTTCAGCATGAATGTGACTGAAGTGCAGCGAGAAGCTGAGCCTGAGGTGAACCAGCTGACTGGGGTTTATCTCAGGGCAGAGAACCAAATGAGTCCACAGCCGCCAGTATCAAATGATGGTTTTGTGTAAAAGCCACTGCGCTGCACTGGCTCTGACCCTTAAAAGCTGGTGGGCTCTGGCTAGACTCTTCCTGCCAATGGATTGATTGCTTTTATTGCCCAATAAGCAACCTCTCCACAGGAGCAGCGGCAAATTCAGCCTGTACTTCCATAAACATGTTTACTGTGCCAAGCTGTACACACATTTACTAGAGAGTCTCATAAAATGCATTTAGCAGCTGTGTAAAGCGTAATTGCCGCTACCGGCTCAGTGATGTGTTTTTTGAGTAAGGTAACCTAAATTTACCCTCCACACTAATGTGGCTATGTAATCAACCCCAGCCTAATCAATGTATTTGTATAAGCGATTGGATTTGGAAGTGGGTGAAGGGTCTGGTAATTGTTGACTTGCACCGGAGGGACGTGATTGATTGCTTCCTGTTTTTCGCTCTCTGCACAGAGGCAGTAAGAGCGGTCAGCTTCTTGTTTGGAGAGTACAAGCCTGTATTTTTAATGCACATTTTTTATTATGGACCATATTTTGACCATACAAACGTACTTTTTTTTTTATCTGAAAATGGTGCTTGATGCACGTTTAGTCATAGTCGGCCTGTATCATGATGCTATTAATTTCAGAGCATTGCTAAGGTAACATTACTTTGTAGAATACTTGTATTGGATTCCTGCAAAAACTTGTAAATTTACTTGCAGTCGATGTACAAAATCATCAGGCCGATTGCATTTTAGATCAAATATAAAATACTGATTGAATGCATTCTCATTTTGTTTGCAAAACACTATTGTAGACAGGAAAGCCTGTCAAAACTTGTACTTGTATGTGTATTGTTGATTAGTGTTGATGTAGCCTTAATACACTCTTAACATCTTTGCTTGTTTTTCCACAGATCACCAAACGCTTGCGCCATGAGCGGGGTTCTCAAGAGGAAGTATGAGGAGGTGGCGGAGGACCCGTGCTACTCCTCCTCATCCCCCTCCTCTCTCTCCTCCTCTGCCTACTCAGAGTGGGACTCAGATGGGGAGAGCTGCTACTCGGACACCCTGGATTCGACCCCCAGTAACCCTAGCTCCCCAGCAACATCCTTAAACAGTGAGTTCCTCTTTAGATGTATTCTCTATTCTCTTTATGCTTTTAGCTGTCATTAAAACCCTTTTTCAAAGCTATTTACCATTCATAAGGTCTAATTTTGTGTCCTATCTGGGAAGGTTTTATTTGTGTCCTATCTGGGGAAGGTGTTATGGGAGGTTGTAAGATTGATTGCATGGATGTTTTAATTACCCAAGGATGTTTTAATGCATGCTGGATTCTTTTGGACAGCTCCAGCAAGCCGTTCATCCAGGTTGTTAGGGTGAGTCAGGGAAGGAAAGCAAACAGTTGTGAGTTTCCCAGGATGGCAGGGCAGGCGGCCAGAGAGTGTGCCATGTGACGGAGACAGAATGAACGCAGAGCTTTGTCTGAGCACTGGGCATGAACCCAACACAGGTGCTGAGAAAGACCAAAGGGCATGAAGCAGGAAGGCAGGGATGAAGAGAAAAGGAAGGGAAACGATATGGCTGTCTGCTTGCGTTTATGAAACAGAGAGTGAAGTCAGATAATGGAGTGTAGTCTAGGTATGTTGAGTGAAAGACTTGTACAGTAACATGTATTTTAAATACTTCCAACAGAAGGCTGTAATTACTTGATTTAAACACAGCGCATTACATTTTAGAATAACTGTTTTCTACTTTTCTATTTCGTTTTAATCTTCTTTAAATGGTAGTGTACAGTCTGCACATGTATAATATTAACAATCCATGTTTTCAAGAGTATTTTTGGATGCATTTTCAGTGTTGCGTAATGATTGGCACCAACACACTCCAACCGTACAAACCACTGAACATGCTGTTTGCCTATCCCTCAACGCCTCCTTTTCATTCACTTGAAATAAAACATTCTTTCAACCCTGAATGACACAACCATAGAGTATCAGTTTAAATGTATTTGAGACAAAACAAATCTACTGACAGTCAGCCAGCATTATTGCATTACTGTATTAACAAGTGCTTTGGAAATCAAAAATCATCACTTTTAATGCTTAGCTACAAACAATAACATACCATTGTCTTCCACTGTCAAACCACTGTCTTCTCTATCTGATTGTTAGATGAGCAAAACATATTTGCACAGGGATAGAGAAAACACACTAGATTGAGTTCCCACCATTACAAGTCTAATATAAACCAGCTGTGGGGACAGTGTGAGAGTCCAATCCCTCCAGATAACAATAGTAAGCTGCCGGCCCAAGGGGAAAAAGAGCTCCTGTCTGACAGAAGCTCATGAAGTTCTACACAGAGGACAGACCTACTGAAATAACAATTTAAAACTGTAGTTTTCTTGTTTCAAGGAGAAAATTCCTCCCTTTCAGATCTTTTGACATTGGGTAAATGCAGAATTTGGCTGGTTATAGGTATAATTTGCAAGGAACGCACAGACAAATGGCCTGTCTTTATATAAAGATGGGTGTATGTTATTAAAAAAGCAGCCATCTTAAGTGCCCTCACCACTTCCAGAAACCTCAAACTTCCAGATCATTCAGCCAAAGGGTTATGATTTTGGATGCTTTACTCCCCTACACACTTTATCGCCAAGAGGAAATTCCTGTGTGGATTGTGTTTGTCAGACACGAACAAAGAGGAATGTAGTTGTTTTTGCTTATGACTAGAAACGTCTGAAAACTATTAGCTAAACTATCCATGCATCTGTTCCAATGTTGATTGGAGAAATTGGTGTTTTTATTTGGTGTTCAACCGAGTGACTGTAGCTCGTGGCATTTCCTTTTTGTGGACTGCCATCTAGTGGTGATGTAGTACACCCGCAACAATAGCATTAATGGGATCTTGATGTTTACACAAGAGACTCACCCACTCCAAGTCTTCCCATTAGGCTTGGCACACTTCCTACTCAAATACTCCCAGATGAGATCCTAGGAACAGAACTTCCCTTTCTTTTTTTCCACCACTCTAAGACATGTGCTCTTAATTTTCCATTAAAAAATTCCAAGCTTGAATTTCCGTGAGTGTACTCCACTTGTGTTTTTTTAAGGCTGTATGTCTTATGTTAATCCTATCTCTCTCTCTCTCTCTCTCTTTCCTCAGCAACATCTATCCTGAAGAAGGCTAAGCGCACACGGCGAGGCAACGTGCAGTTTGACCAGGTTACGGTTTTCTTCTTTCCTCGTTGCCAGGGCTTCACCAGCGTGCCCAGTCGGGGAGGTTGCACCCTTGGCATGATGCAAAGGCACAGTGCCCAACGTCGCTACACATTGGCAGAGTTTGCGATAGCACAGCGCCACCTACGGCGAGAGAAACTCAAAAATCGAATGAGGGAGGAAAAACTGGAAGCCCTTAAGCTAAAGGTAGCAAATTTAATTCTTGCACATTCTGGTCAAACAAGCTGCATTTGAATCAAAGCATCATCATAATCATGCAAATATGCTTTCTTCCTTTGATAGCTCACCAAAAACGGTACCCAAGAGTCTGAAGAAGCTGAAAAGTTAACTGTCGATGATATCCCAGAGGATGAAATTGACCTCAGTGGAGTAAATGTGGATGACGGCTCCTTCCTGCATCCATACCCCTCAAAGAAAAGGTACGCCATCCTTAAAGCTGCTGGTGTGAAGAAAATCGATAGAGAAGAGAAACGTCAACTTCATGAGCTGCGGACATCGAGAGAAGACTGCGGATGTGACTGTCAAGGCTTCTGTGAGCCAGAGACCTGCAGCTGTAGTTTGGCTGGGATCAAATGTCAGGTAAGCAATTCCCAACAGACTTCTTTGAGAACATCACTTACCAAGTTTGTGGGTAATATTCACAAGTATCATCCATGACAGCAGAAAGTAACGCATTATTCTTTGGCTTCACAGATGGACCACTCATCCTTCCCATGTGGCTGCACTAAAGATGGCTGTGGGAACACACAAGGTCGCATCGAGTTCAACTCTAGCCGAGTTCATACCCACTACATCCACACTATCATGAAGCTGGAGCTGGAAAAACGCTTGGAGGAGCACACGACAGAGACGCCTCCTGAAACTCATCCAGACAGCAGTTCCCTAAACCAACCAGCAGAGATCAGCAGCACGCCAGACATGCCAACATTTCACTTTAACTCAGAGCTACTATCCACAGGAGAGAACAGCTGCAGCAGTGACATGACCGATTCGTCTAGTTCCTCAGGCCAGAGCGAGGATTCTGAATCTGTTGAAAATGTTCCAAGTGAACAGTCGCCGCTGGACGTTGACGAAAACGGACTTACAAGAATCCTAAGCTTTAGCGACACAGACAATGAAGACTGTTCTATCAGGGAGCGCAATGACAACTGTGACTACCAACAGAAAAAGAGCGAAGGGTCGATGGGTTATGGCATCTTCAGTACAGAGGACGACAAGCTCAACATGTCACAAACAGACAACAGTCGCACAGCCATGTCTGAACTTTTAGACGAGAACGCTAATCAAGGTAACGGACTATTCCACAGCAGCTTCATCCCACATACGCCCTCGCCTTCCATCGATCATTCGGCCAGCTACATGGACCTTAGCCTGTCATCCGAGTCAGACTTAGAATTCTTTGATGGATTTCCTTGTTTGGGACCGAGCTCGCTATACAACTCCCTAAAGGAGTATGAGCACGTGGACAACTTCTTTCAGTTCCAGTTGCCTACCTACCCCAGCCTTCCTCAAGCTGTCGACCCAGGAACATGTCTCCTGGAGTCTCTGATCGGCTTGTCAGATTCTGTCCCAGAACCTCCGACTACTTTCACGGACAATCAAATGCTAGAAGATGCCATGAAGCTGTCAGTGATGGAGTCTTTAAAGGTCTAATGGGGGACTCTTGTATGATCACTGTATAAATGAACTATGGGATTGTAAATGAATGCCATTTGTTTTCTTTTTGAATGGAGACCCATCGCGGGATATCAATATTTGCATTATCTGCCTTTAAGATGTTAGCAAAGCATTAAGTTATTATAACAATCTTTATTATCATTATTGCCATCGCAGTGGCAGCTAACATTTCAGTTCAAAAACAAGTCTGGCCGACTGATTTTTGAATATTTGTACATATGGCCAGGAAGGTGAAGAAATTTTCACCCACATTGGTGGTATTATCAACATTTACCATTATTATTATTATTATTGCTAAGGTTATTTATATGAATTGAGAAGGGGCACCAATGGGAGTCATAAAGCTGATTATGTATCTCAGGGACTTTTTCTAGCTTTCAGAAGCAATGCATTTTGACCATCGCTGTTTTTTGGCGTTCTTTTTTTCTGAGAATTTTCACCAAAACAAACAGCATTTAAATGGCCCCTTTTGTAGGGCTTCTTTCTTGGTCGCTTTTCCGACTTGAGATGGTGGTCTGTACTTTTTTTTGCAAAGCTAGAGGAAGACTCCTGTTCCACAAAAAGGCTCCTTGGGATTTTCTAACGGTACACAAATCCCCCCCGAGGCTCCTCAGTTAGCACTTTATCTGTGAAAAAAATGAACCAATCAGAGAGCAGATGGGTCTGCCTTGTCGTCTCTGAGTCGAAGATTGTTTTCATGCCATTTTATGGTGTTGGATCATCAGCACAAGGTGGAGAAAAGTGAACGATTTCCTTTTTAATTTATTCTACACGCCGAAGATATTGCATAATATGACTGTGTGATATCTGTTGACCATTATTTGGAATTGCTTTTATTTATTCTTACCAAGTTATTTATTTTGTTTTCTTCAAATGCCAGCTGAATATTATCTGAGCCACACTGTGCTCCGGAGAAGTGGAAATAATGCAGCTTGTTCACGTTTTCCACCTACATTAACCTGTGTGATGCACATCTTTATGTTCAGCTGTGGAGGAAGGGGCACCAACTGCAAAGTATTTAATAATTACGATGAAGTAACACATTTGGTTAAATTATTTCACGTTTAGCATTTCAGCAGTAGGACTATTTATTCATGGTTTGGGAAATAAAGAGAACGGTGTGTTTAACAAAAGAAAAATATAGTCTGTGCCTGTTAACACAAGGAGCCGCTGTTTCCTGTCAGATGAATGACATGATGCTGTATAATCTACCTATTAACTAAAAAAGGTCTGTGAATTGACCACCAATGACATAGCCTATAATATAGAGAATTAACATTTTGTAACTATGTAGATTTGAGAGAATTCTAATCTGTTTATTGACAAATTATTTTATTAAGAAATTAAATTCACAATCTTCTTCAAATATTAAAACATTTGTAATATATGAATAGAGCTAAATCTATGCTTAAAGAAAAAGACTAATATTCTGGCGAGGCATAAAGTTAGGGTTTACTACGATGTAGCTACCTAAACAAATTTCCCAAACTTGATTTGACTGGTTGACTGGAGAACACAACTGACAACGTTAATTGCGGGAGAAAATTTAGGCTTAGTTTCAATAACGTTTTGTTGATAAAATCTGCATATATTATGCAACATGTATCATATTATGCAAATTTGCGTTGCCCATGTTGTTTCCACTACAGTGAAGACATTTAAGTTTGTATGTTTCTGAATGAGCTTTGAGGACATGAATCGATGTACATATCTGACCATCCAGACTTGAGCTGTCAGCACAGCCTTATTTGACCTGATAGGAGCATTTTTGCATGCAAGACCCATTCATTTGTCATGCATTTAGAGCAAAACTGCACAATCAGAAATGTACTTGCTTTATTTTTGCCTTCATGCTGTTCATTCAAGTCCAGCTTATTATTCCCTTGTAAAGATGTATCTCATCGCAATGAAATGGAAATGATTGGTATTTATTAGTCATGATTGATGTTTTTGATCTCTGATGCTTTTCAAAGTGTTTCTTACTTCTGCCTTTTTGTTGTATATATTTTCTGCTTCAATGAAACTAAAGACAAAACCAAGCAGTTGTTTTATATGATATATTTTCACGCTTAACAGTTTAAAGCTGTTCATTTCATTCAAGTCATTTGACATTAGTTTGTCCCTTCAAAATAAAAGTCCAGCTTTTTTCTTAAGTCTGCTGTTGTTTGTCTTGTTCTTTGACATACTGTATGCAAGTGCAGGAGTGTTGAAAGAGTTTATAATCTTGAAAACTTTTGTTGTAACAGAGGCTATCATCATAAAATAATTATAGGTATATAGAAAACTTAGAATATTATAAAGCATGATCTTAAGAAACAAAGCGCAAGCAAGTTATTTGTTTATACTTTTAAATTTGAATAATTCATTTGAATAATTAAAAGCAGACCCAAATCTATTATCACTTTAAAGAAAATATTAGTAATTTATTATGTGCACTCATAGCAGAATGTGTGTGAAATTAGGATTTGTGACAGGATCAAACAATAGACAAATAAAAAGATAAAACCCATGAATAGAACCTCTACAGCAGGGGTGTCCTGGAGAGCCGGAGTTTAGCTCCAACTTGCTTCAACGCACCTGCCAGTAAGTTTCTAGTATATCTAGTACAGGGGTGGCCACCTTCCTGCAGAATTTATTTGCAACCCATATCAAACACACCACACGTTTGTTTAGGGTTGGAGCTAAACTCTCCAGGACACTGGCCCTCCAGGACCGAGTTTGGACACCCCTGCTCTACAGCAACAAAAATTACAACAAAACTTAATGTAAAATTGCACACACTGGGAAAAACTCGAGCAGTAGTATCACCAAATTTATCGCTAACATAGGATTTTTAAAAAGATGAGATACTTTAAAGTATATTTACAATATTATAATTTTTTTTTACCTTATTCGTTTGACAGCAAAACAGCCTCTTCTCAACCGGATATAAAAAAAAAAAAAACATTGGAAGTCACGTGGTAAATCTCCGTCCACTGGCAATCAGTAGTGCGTGATGACACTTCAGGTGTGCGTCGTGTCTCCACTGATCTCCACACAGGATTTTATGTAAAATTTTGGCAGTTTTTACGTGTTTTAATATTTTTATTTAGTAGTTTAATATGTCTTTACATCCTTCAGAAATAAGATGTTTTTATTTATACAGCCACACGTCGAAAAATGTTTGTTTGTTGCGCTGAAATAAATAACAGTTCTTTGGGGATCTGGCAGAAGATACGTCGCAACCTGTAAGTAAATAATTTTATTATACTTTCACTATAATTCGCTGTTTTAAGTGGGTGTCTTCAAAAATATTATCGTCAGTTGGCTAAGTACTTCATTTGTGTTTATCTTTTCAGTACAAAACGATCATAGGCTACTAATTTAGCATTTCAATGAGCATGACAGTAGTGTAAAAACGTTGGTCATATCATAGTACTGTATTATTCAGTTCTGTATAATTTAAAGATTTAAAAAATATTTTAAAAGAGATAGTTAATAATAATAATAATAATATTAATACTAATTATTATTAATATTATTATTATTATTATTATTATTATTATTATTATTATTATAGTAATAATAATTCTGTCTTTATTTACTAACATTTGACACGTTCCAGTTACCAGTTTTGTGTTGAAGTTTAAAAGTGTGGATTTAGTGTTGAGAATTTGAGGAAAAAAAAAAAAAAAAAAAAAAAAAAACAAGCAAACAACTTTTCAAAACAAATGGAACGTGAGATGAACAACATTGAAATGATAAAATCCATTCCTGCGATTTATAAAACATTTGGATGTGCTATAGGCACAGGGACCATTATGAATTAAATGTCATACAAATGTGGTAAAAGCTCTGATGGTCATTGAAATTTTTTTTACATGCTCCATTAAAAAAAAAAAAAAAAACTTTTTAACTGTCAAAACAAGCAAACTCTAATTTTAACTCATCTTTTTTTTTTTTTTTTCAAATCATAATAAAAACTTTCATGCACAACATTTAAAGAAATGTTATAGTAAGGAAGATAAAGATGTTGGTAAATAGAGTTAATGAATTAAACTTTTAATTTTACTTTTTATTGAGGTGGTTTGTTGGTGATTGGGTAGCTTTGGGTAGGAAAACTGAGACATGATTAAAATAATTTAAGACCTACAACCCCCATTTCAGGGATTTTAACACTTTTTAATACCTTACAGACACCCTGTAGACTGTAAAACAGTTAATACAAACAATAACCCGTGTATAATGCAGCTTCTTCAGTGTTAAAAGGATTCACTTGTGTGTGTGTGTGTGTATATATATATATATATATATATATATATATATATATATATATATATATATATATATATATATATATAAATAAATAAATTACTCACCCTCATCTTAACAAATCCTTGAACCCTACATTCATCTTCCATACACAAATTAAGAAATTTTAGATCTAAGACTATCCATAGACAGTAAAGATCACAAAACATTAAAAGGCCAGAAAGTTATCAACACAGTTAAAATATTCCATTGACTTGTGTTATATATTCAGGAGAATATATATGTATGTATATATATATATATATATATATATATATACATATACATATACATATATATTCAGGAGAATGATACTCTTGCTTCTGTCAATCACACAGATGAATGCGATAAATGATATTTAGTTATTTTATTAATTAGTTTTTTGAATAAATTATTTAATAATTTTATAACATTTTATTTTTGAGTGATAGGGCTCTGTGGTTCAATTGAAATGAAATCACAATATAAATTGGCTTACACATCTTGTCTTGGAAGCATGGTAGTAGTAATTCTCTGAATACTAGAGGTTGCTTTAGTGGTTTTAAATATCCATTTTTTTAATTGTATATTTTAATTTATTTATTTTCTTGTTGGCTTAGTCTCTTTATTAATCTGGGGTCGCCACAGCGGAACGAACTGCTAACTTATCCAGCATGTTTTTTATACAGCAGATGCCCTTCCGGCCGCAACCCATCTCTGGGAAACATCCACACACACACACACGCACGCACGCACACAGTAATACACAGGTAATAGTTCTAATGTGAAAAATGAGCATACTAGACAAATGCATTCACAACCATGTAACATTAATATTTTTTTCCATAAAATCTTTGGTCCTTAATAATGGATAAAAAACCAACAAACAAAAAAAATCCTTTTATTCAGGAGTCGTGTGCCACCTCATGATAGGATAAAAGCTGCTGCTGCTGCTGCTTCTGCCCCTGCTCTCTCTGTTGTCTTGGTATTGAGATGGTCTGGTAAAATGTCTGCATAGGCATATAACTTATTAATGGTTGCGTTTAACGAGACATGGTCTAAAGAGAAAGGTTAAATAATAATGCAAAACACACACAATTAATGATGTCTGTAGAAAGCAAAAGGTTGAAACCCAGGCTTTTTAGGAGATTTATAAATGCATTTTATGTTGCAAAAAGCGGACCTTAGCTTAGGCTAAATCAATATTAAAATAAATATAATTTAAAAATCTGAATAACTATATTCTTTTTCTCTGATGTAACAAAATTGGCAAGTATTAATCAATTGTTACACTCTCTGTGAAAACCCAGCTGAAGTTGTGTAATCTCTTTTAGATAAAAGAGTCAAAGTTAAATAGCTATAAAAATGCTAGCTAAAATATGCTATTTCTAATGTTGCAGAACAACTCAAGATTTTGAGTTCTACAATTATAACAAGATAAATACTAAAATCAATGATTTAATCAACACTACGTCTTAATTTGGGTGATTGGTCTTGAATGATGTTATCGGTTCTGAATGAGGAAACGGGCAGGTAACATCATTCAAGACCCCTGTCACTCAGGCCACTAACTGTCCACACTTCTTCCCTCAGGCTGATGTTACAGATCTTTGCACTAAAACATTTTTTTTCCCTCAGGCCCTAATATTCTGTTTCTAATATTTTTTTAATTTACCTTGTAAAATAGTGATCCATCAGATCTGGTCAGTAAGTACAACTCACTGCTGAACAACTTATTTTATCATGGTAAAATAACACACAAATCCAACCTCCTGAAACTCAAACTGTCTGCTGAGAAGTCGTCAATCACAATGACACGCCCCATTTTTATAGCATTAAATTACAGGCTAAAAACATACTCATGAAAAAACAAACAACTGGACCTATGATAACAAGTGTCTTATTGACAAAAAACATCTTTCGGGAATTATTATTGCAAATTTAAATTTATAAATGTTTGTTTTTAATTATTTTGTCTCGAGTCTCATTTGTTAACATAGAGGAGGCAGGGTTTATGACTTAATGCATTCGGCCCCCAGAGGGCGATCAAAGAGCCAGGAGGTTCTCATAAAAGCTATATGAATAATTCTAATTCTGATTATTCTTTAGATATTTTAAGCAAAAAAAACTATATATATATATATATATATATATATATATATATATATATATATATATATATATATATATATATATATATATATATATATGTATATGTTGAAGTCAGAATTATTAGCCCCCTTTTGATTTTTTTATTTTTTAAATATTTCCCAAATAATGTTTAACAGAGCAAGGAAATTTTCACAGTATGTCTGATTATATTTTTTCTTCTGGAAAAAGTCTTATTTGTTTTATTTCGGCTAAAACAAAAGCAGTTTTAATTTTTTTTTAAAGACAAAATTATTAGCCCCTTTAAGCAAATTTTTTTTTTCAGTAGTCTATAGAACATACCATTGTTATACAATAACTTGCCTAATTACCCTAACCTGCCTAGTTCACCTTATTAACCTAGTTAATCCTTTAAATGTCACTTTAAGCTGTATAGAAGTGTCTTGAAAAATATTCGGTAAAATATTATGTACTGTCATCATGGTAAAGATTAAATAAATCAGTTATTAGAAATGAGTTATTTAAACTTTTATGTTTAGAAATGTGTTGAAGAAATTTTCTCTCCCTTAAACAGAAGTTGGGAAAAAAAAAATATATATATATATATATATATAATGAATTAACATTTTCACAATAGTACGAATAGCTTAATCATGTTTTTAAAGCTTTTATTTCTTTTAATCACATCACAACAATTACATCTGTTTTACAAAATGTAAGAATTTTCCCATAAATGTGTCATCGTGTCATATTACTGAAAATGGGAGACTTTTAGCTTTATTTTTGTATTTGGCCCATAGTCAGGATAATTGGTTCTGGTAATTGGAAAATGGTTCAGATGTGTTGCAGTTTTAATTAAGCTTTTCTTTAAATTGACTTTTCTTAAAAAGATGAATTTCTAAGTCTGAAATGATGCGTGTTTTACATGTGACTTCATCTAAACTCCACTTTTAACTCATGCCAAATGTATATTTGACTCTCATAATTTAGTATGTGGACTAGCACTTTTTAAACCCAGGGTTATGAAACCTTGCTCCAGAGGGGTTTAGCGCTTTTGTGCAAACACAAACACACACACGCACGCACGCACGCACGCACGCACGCACGCACGCACGCACGCACGCACGCACGCACGCACGCACGCACGCACGCACGCACGCACGCACACACACACACACACACACACACACACACACACACACACACACACACACACACACACACACGTCCAGCCAAGTACATGGCTCGAAATAGTCATGTTTTTGGGAAGCATGTTGTAAAACAAATGTTTTTAGCATTTTAAAGCAGCAATAGAAACAAAGATGAGCATTCAGTCTTCTCTTTATATTTTCAGTAGTCATTTATGGTTAATTTGTTAGTAGCCTACAAATTGATTACACTATTTCTAAAAAAAATAAAAAGAAACGACAATTAAACCTGTTAACCTAAAGTTACTAAACCTAGTGGAAACTTGGAGCTGGTGAATTGACAATTTTTAGAATGATCTAAATCAATTATTCATTTAAAAAAGTGTAAACCTGTTGTATTAAAATTATTATTAAAATCAGTTAATCACATTTTACAGTGAATATATGGTAACATCATAGATGGTTCATTCTAGTCTTGTCCGAAACTCTGGATTCTCTATAAAATCCAGAGTTCATGAGAAGTGAATTTTTTTTCATGATTTTAAATAAATCTATTTAGTTGCATCTACAAAATATACTTTATCTAAAATACGTAAAAGCACCAATGCATCATAATAATTAATTGAAATATTTTTTTATGGAGTTTGAATTTTTGTATAACTTGTACATCTCCATCTTGCTTGTAGCTAAATGTTTACGACTTGCTAACTCATACATATGAATATCCCAAGAGGATTTGAATGCACCATTACTGAGGATGGTTTAGAAACGTACAGTGTGCTACACAGGTTTCATTTGTCATGTTTATTGGTTTCATCAGATGGATTCTGAGCAGCTCACACTGTAAATCAAACTAATAGTGATCTCATTATTATTTTAAAGAGTTCACAGACTTTTTTTTCACCACTGTACATTTTATATTTCACAGACATAGAAAAAGAAAGCCATTTCAAATGCAAACAATAGCAGGGCTCAGTTTAACCATCTTTACACCCCAAGTCAAGTTGTTCAACACAGTCTTTTATGAAAAACACTGACGGTTAACACATTCTACGGGTCTGTACTCGAAATGCTGTTCTAAGATCATACATTACAGCTTAAGAAATGATATGTAGAGATATGTCAAATAAATACCAATTGAATTAATACAGCTTGTCATTTGTTTTCAGTCATTTGAGCAGTTTTTTTTCTTTTTGCATGCTAACTAAGCATCATCTAACTACCATGTTAGTCTTGCATTAATCATAACTGAACCAAATATTAGTCTACATTAGTACATGGCTAAATAATTCTTCATAACATCTTTACTGTGTGTATTAAACCAATGTACAGTAACTTTGTCTACTGAACCTTATATGCCAACCAAATAGTTTTTAATAAATGCTTCACAGAGTACTGAAAATCTGAGGTTTGCATATTATTAGGCAAGTTTAATTCTATACAGTTAGTGCATAAGAATAGAGCCAGTGCTTGAGGATTTGACTGTAGCTGGAGCACATGCTCGTATACATAAAGCTGAGAATCCATGATCCTGATTCTGCTATGGCTTTATGAACGCTATCGCTAAAGCTGCTCCAACATGCTCATGAAGCTGAACGCAGCAGTTGATTAAATCCTGAATCTTCCACATTTGAATCTGAATTGGAATCACTTTGTTCACACTAACTGATTTATTATTTATTTTTTTATTAAACCTTTCAGGAATGACACTTTTGTGACTGGATAGATGATGCAATATATGTATATCTATGTTGATTGCTGTAGTAATAATGTCAGCATAATTACAAGACTCAAGTTTCAAACTAAGCCCTGTGAGTAGTTGGTTTTTGTTGCTGTTTGAATAAATTCAAACAGATGAGTGCTTTACACTGAAAGTTTAAATGCATTTAATCTGATTGAATGCATTTACACCCAGCTGTGGTCAAAGATAATGTTATATAATTCATTTACACCTGTATTTAACATTGTCGACTTATATCGAATTGACAAAAATGCATCTTAATACCATGTGTAAATGGGCCATTAGATGTGTATGTGGTTTGGAATGGGTTTGTATAGGAAATTTTTACTCCTGCATATACTTGGTAGGAACGGTGTAACCAGCATCCAGCACCTACACATTGTGACAAGGAAAAGCGCAAGATTTCAGATTGGACATCTTGGTTTCGCTGTAATCATTGTGGGCAGGGACTAGAGCCATTAAAGTGGCACAAGGTAGTGTGTCAAACTCAATTCCTGGAAGGCCACAACCCTGCAGAGTTTAGTTCCAGCCCTGCTTCAACACAAGGATCTGTAGGTATTATTCATTAAATTTCTTTTGGCTTAGTGCCTTATTTATAAGGGGTCGCCACAGAAGAATGAACCACCAACTATTTAAGCATATGTTTAATGCAGCAAATGCCCTTCCAGCTGCAACCCAGTAATGGGAAACACCCATATACTCTCGCATTTTCTCTCTCTCCCACATACACACACACACACACACACACACACACACACACACACACTCTACAGCCAATTTAGTTCCTCCCATTCACCTATAGCACGTCTTTGGAGTGTGGGGGAAACCCACGCGGACATGGGGAGAACATGCAAACTCCACACAGAAATGCCAACTGACCCTGGCAGGACCAGCGATCTTGTTGCTGAGGCGACAGTGCTAACCACTGAACCACACCTGTGTAGGTATCAAACAAGCCTAAGAACTCAATGAGTTTGATTAGGTGTGTTTAATTAGGGTTAGAATTAACTGTGCAGAGCTGTGGTCCTCCAGTAACTGAGTTTGACAACTAGGGTTTAACACGTCTCAGTATAGACATTTATTCTTAATTTATTCTGGTTTCTGCCTCTTTCTTTCCTGAATAAGTGTACATTTTAACTACTGTTATGGTAGCATCAATTAATTAATTAATTAATTAATTCAACACACTGGCAAAGAAACTTAACATAGTGGAGCATAATGCAGAAGTATAAATGCTCACAATGGCATCAGTTATATGCAGGGGATGTGTTGTGAGACACTCGACACAGACGTTTTTGGCTGTTCATATTACAAAAGGCAAAACTGATTTAAATTCAGATTCATCAGATTGGTCTGAACAAAAGCCTGACTTGTTTTTTTTTTTTTTTTTTTTAACCCTGATACAGGAACTCTGAACAACAAGTCTGCTAAATCAAGCTAACAACTGATCCCACTGTATGCATCAAAACACATCAGCATTTTTAGAGTCAATCACTGAACAGACATTATGATTATAAAGAATGAGGACACTATTTCAAAATTCCTTTCTAAGTGCATTAAAGCAGTCCATGGGTCTCACTGCTGATGGTACAGTCTGAGGTCCTGAATTCACATACAACACTGACTGATCTGTCTGAACGTTTCAGTGCAGCTCCTTAAACACCACCCAAATCACCAGGAGGAGTTTTTAGCACTGTGATATCATGTCTTTCCAGAAAGACCATGAGATGTTCTGCTGTTGAGAATACTGCTATGATTAATGATAATACATTAGAAAGCGACTGCTGTAATGCGGTACGGCATTGCATAGAGTACTGTTTTCCATTTGTGCTTGTACGTCTTTGATATAATCATCTTGGAATCCAAGACTGGATACAGAGAGTTACAGTCCTCCCCATTCTCCATTTAGCACCATGAGACATCTACCGTACTTCTCAACAGCACATACTCCATCATCTGTACGTGCTGTAAGTTTGTACTGGAGACATTGAGATCGGTGAGCGCAGCAAGCTCCTGAAAGCTGCGCATGAGGAAAAACGGGCATACTTGTGCCCTATCTTGTGGAGGAGGACGCCCGACAGGAAGGCACACGGAGGCAGACGTTTGGGTGCGAGTCCTCAAATGTGACAGTGCATTTCCTGCAGCGAGCGGGCAGATGGGGTTATTGCTTTGAGGGCATTTCCAGGGCAGCTCTGGCTGCAGTGTCCGTGGTTCATAGGGGGCTGTTCTGGAGGTTCAGGACGAGGTGTGAAGATGGGGCAGGAACGAGTGCGAGCGTGGCTCTTGTGGCCTCCTGCATGGCAGATAAGCTCACTGACAGTGCCCAGTGGTGGCAGATGCTGCTGCCAGCGCTTCAGACGATCTTCTTTGTATTTGATGGAGTACCAGGTGAGGAAGATGAAGATGAAGCCCACAAACTTGAGACTGGCAGCCAGGCCGAAGTACACAAAGCGGAAGGAAGTGACATCATACTCCCAGCAGGAGCCGTGGATGCCACAGTCCTGCTGCCACAGCATACAGGTGGTGTCAATCACTGCACCAAAGTAGATGGGTGTGGGAATGTAGGCTGCAGACATGGAAGAAGGGGGCAATTTTGGTAAGACAATTGTTTACTTGAGGAATTAACACCATAAAGTTTTTCGGAATACAGTGCATCTGGAAAGTATCCATAGCGCTTCACTTTTTCCATTTTCTTATGTTACAGCCTTATTCCAAAATTTATTAAATTAATTTATTTCCTCAATTCTACACACAATACCACATAATGACAATGTAAAAAAAATATTTTTTTAAATAGTTGCAAATTTATTACAAATAAAAAAGCTGAAAAATCACATGTACAGAAGTATTCACAGCCTTTGCTCAATACTTTGTTGATGGATCTTTGGCAGCAATTACAGCCGCAAGTCTTTTTGAATATGATGCCACAAGCTTAGCACACCTGTCTTTGGAAACTTTTGCTTATTCCTCTTTGCAGTACCTCTCAAGCTCTATCAGGTTGGATGGGAAGAGACAGTGTACAGCCATTTTCAAATATCTCCAGAGATGTTCAATAGGATTTAGGTCTGGGCTCTGGCTGGACCACTCAAGGACATTCACTGAGTTGTTGTGAAATTACTCCATTGATATTTTGGCGGTGTGCTTTGGGTCATTGTCCTGCTGGAAGATGAACCGTCACCCCAGCCTGAGGTCAAGAGCCCTCTGAAGCAGGTTTTCATTCAGGACGTCTCTGTACATTGCAGCATAGATCCTTTCCTGACTATTCTTCCAGTTCCTGCTGCTGAAAAACATCTCCACAGCTGCCACCACCATACTTCACTGTAGAGATGGTATTAGCCTGGTGAGGAACGGTGCCTGGTTTTCCCCAAACATAACGCTTGCCATTCACTCCAAAGAGTTCAATTTTAGTCTCATCAGACCAGAGAATTTTGTTTCCTATGGTCAGAGTAATTTCGGCAAATTCCAAGTGGGGAGTGGCTTCCGTCTGGCCACTCGACCATACAGGCCTGATTGGTGGATTGCTGCACAGATGGTTGTCCTTCTGTAAGGTTCTCTTCTCTCCACAGAAGATTGGTGGAGCTCAGACAGAGTGACCATCGGCCTATTGATCACCTCCCGACTAAGGCTCTTCTCCTCCGATCACTCAGCTTAGATGGCCAGCCAGCACTAGGAAGAGTCCTGGTGGTTCCAAACATCTTCCACTGATGGATGATGGAGGCCACTGTGCTCATTGAAACTTTCAAAGCAGCAGAAATTTTTTCTGTAACCTTCCCCAGCCTTGTGCCACGAGACAATCCTGTGTTGGAGTTCTTTGTCTTCATGCTTGGTTTGTGATTTGACTGCACTGTGAACCCTGGGCCTTTAAATAGACAGGTGTATGCCTTTTCAAATCATGTCCAATCAACTGAATTTACCACAGGTGAACCACAATTAAGCTGCTGAAAAATCTTAAGAAAGTTCAGTGGAAACAGAATGTGCCTGAGTTCAATTTAGAACTTTACATCAAAAGCTTTGTATAGCTATGTACATGTGATTTATTATTATTTTTTTTTTTTCCCCATTTTTTTTTTTTTATAAATTTGCAAAAATTAAAAAAGAAATATTCACATTGTCATTATGGAGTATTGTGTATAGAATTTTGTGGAAATAAATTATTTTTAATCAATTTTGGAATAAGGCTGTGACAAAAAAAATGTGGAAAAAGTGAAGCGCTATTAATACTTTCCAGATGCACTGTAATAACTGCTCTCAGTATAATGTGTAATTTACATTTATGAACACTAGGTGGTGCTAAGTGAGCTATTCATGCTGATAGAAAAACAATGCTGAAATTCATGCTAAGGTTAGTTTTTAAAGTGTTGCATTTAAAATGTAAAGAAAGCTTGTAGCTTACCCAGAGTTCTTAGCAGGACAAACTGCATTCCTAAAGCAAACGGTCTTTCCTGCTCGTCCACAGACCTGAAAAAAAAAAAAAAATTGTGTCCTTTATTACTAACAGCTAATGAATGCATTACATGTCATATATATTCACATCCTACATGTAGGGGAAAACATTAACTATTAACTACTAATAGTGAAATGAAATGTGAAAAGTGATCTGTAATGTTACTAAAGATTTCCATTTCAATTTGACATTTCTGATCAAAGAATGCACAATAAAAAAAAATATTACACAAAATTGAAAAATAAACAGTTGATGACATTATTTTGGGGGGCTAAGGTCAGTAGTATTAACCCCTGTACAGTTGTTTACATTAATCTTTACATAAATGCTAGTAATTTTCTCCTCAACATATATAAAATTAGAAGATTAACATTTTGATGTTTTGAGAAAAACATTTGTTGTGTAAAACATATGCTAGAGTAAATGGCGATTCATTCTGCAGTGGTGAACCCTGATTAAGCAGGAAACAAGTAAGAAATGTCTAATCTGCTTGCCAAGACTTTATTTATTCAATCAAAAATTTAATAAAATATTGTGGTAATTGGAATACCTTTATAACATTTTAAAGACAATTCATCTAAAAATGTAAATCCTGTGATTTAAACATAAATTTTCATCATTATTACCTCAGTCTTCAGTGTCACATGATCATTCAGAAATCATTATAATACGCTGAACTGCACTGATCGTTTATAAATGATATTCATTTAATCATTAACAAGGGTTCCTGAAAATGCTCTGCTTTGTATTCATCCAATTTTTTTTTCAAAATTATGAATAACAGTAATTGAAATAAAATACAATATCAATAATATTAGAAGAATAAAATACATTTATAGCATTTTTGATCTTGGTGAGCAGAAGAGACCTAATGTAATGTGCCCAAACTTTTGACTGGCAGTGTATATTTATTTACATTTGAATAAATACAACCTTGATGTACTTAGAAGCAATGTTTTTTTTTACTGTGTAGATTTCAAAAGTGCCCTTATTTTCCTAGGTAAATAGTTTTACAAGAAAGGGAAAAAACTCCCTTTAAAGTCTTCATAAAAGATTAGAAAATAAGAATCATCAGTTGGTGTTTTCTACCTGAGCGTGACGATGATGGCAGAGGGCTGTGCACAAGCGGTGATGAGCGTCACGATGAAGAGGAAGATGAGGAAGGGGATGAGCGTGTTACAGGTTCTGTCACACTTCCCTGACAAAGCGAATCCATTCTCATTCAGGTACGTCTTCACTATGACCAGCTGCAGCTGATTACCCTGACCACTGGTGGGAGGAGTGATCACCTGTCTGCTCTGAACACACGCACAGTCTGTGTAGTTTCTGATCTGCAAGAACACAAAACATACTATTCAATTACCACACATATCCAAAAGACATATGCATATTTATATTGATGATAGTAAAGCTGTCTCGCTCAAAAGTTAAATACTAATTAATTTAAAAAATAATAAGTCCTCTAAAGTTTGCACTTTTATATTCTGATCCAAAAGTGAGAAACATGCTTCCACCAGCATTTTTACCCCCTTCCCTGTAGAATGACACTGTATCATTGACCCAGATCAAGAGGCAAGGAATGTTATGTATATAACTGGAATGGAAAAATGAGATGATTCAGATTTAAAATCAGTGTATGGTATTCCGTGATGACCTAAAATGATTGAAAATATGGCTCAACTCTAGAAAGACATGCAATGCAAGTCTCACCCCGGTGCTGTCATTGCCAACTGTGCTGCATCCCGCCAGGCAGGGGTTGAAGTATGTGATGCCATCTGAGCCACAAACCGGAGCGTACTCGTTGATCCGGCAGCCACAATTCACATTACAGCCTCCCGTCAGGTTTCTGTGGGTCAAAGTGAGCGTCGGCCTGAAGAAAAAAAAAAAACACAAGCAGAGGGAGAATACAGTTAATTCAGAAATGAAATGCATCACGTCAGCTGCCATAGGCTGTTTGGAACACTGTACAATACATAAAATATGACCAGACATAAAACACTAAAATCGGTGTTGTGAGAAATCACCCTTGAATCTGCAAAAGCTTGAGGTGCTGTTTTCATGCATTAGCCAATAAGTGAACTTGTGCCAAATGTGATTTTAGAAATAAAAATCTATACACTCATCACTCACTGACCGCTTTATTAGGTAGATTACTGCTTTATATGCATATATTTAAACAACCAATCACATGGCAGCAACTCTAAACTGCATTTAAGCACATGGTCAGATGATCTGCTGAAATTTAAATCAAGCAACAGAATGGAAATTGAAGTGTGTTTGATTACTAATGGAGTATTTCAGAAAGTGCTGATCTACTGGGATTTTCATGCACAGCCATCTATAGCAGGGGTGCCCAAACTCAGCCCTGGAGGCCGGTGTCCTGCAAAGTTTAGTTCCAACTCCAATCAGACACACCTGGGCTAGCTAATCAAGCTCAAGTTTAAGCACCCCTGATCTATAGGGTATGTGAAGAGAATAAGCAGACTGATTTAAGCTAATAGAGATGCAACTGTAGCTCAAATGGAGCAGAAAAAAAATCTGTTGAATGCAGAACACAATCAACCTTGAAACAGATGAGCTACAGTAGCAGAGGAAGAGCACACAATTGCCACAGGCTTACCAAAAACTAGACAAAAAAATAGAAGATTTGGGAAGGTTTGCCTGGTCTGAGAAATCTCCATTTCTGGTGTGATATTTGGGATTTAGTTGTGTAGGGGGATCTTATTTTGGTATTCACAAAGGTCCCAGAAGTTGCTCTTAGTACAAACTTAGCATTATTTAAACTCCACAGGCCTGTCCATATCACTATATGATCACAGTCATCCATCTGACTGCAGAAAAACAACATGGTCCAGTTTAACAAAGCAATCATCTCAAACTGGTTTCTTGAACATGACAGTGAATTCACTATCAAATTGCCTTCACAAGCACCAGTTATCAATCCCACTAAAGGATTTAAGGAACCTGCCCCTTGTCGAATAACTGACTTGAGAATTGTAAATTTTGTTTTCAATTGAACTTTATTCTACTAGCTCACACAATTTTGTTTGGTTAGAATTTCATTGAAGATTAGCAAAACAGTTACTTCCACGTTTGGAGTGGTGGTTCTACTGTTGACATCAACCTGATAGCTTCCATAGCAACTGCCGTTACCTTCTCTTTCATACCTTCTCTTCCATTGTAACTGCATAGTAAAATAAATATATTGACGTTAGTTAGTACATAACGATGCACAAATGAAAAACTACTCAATATTCTGTTTCAGTTGGAAGTACGTCAACATACTGAATTTAAAGTCTGCATGAACCAGAAGTTGTTGAGACTTTTAAGAATTAAGGCAGATCAAATGTAAAAGTATGTCCAACCTAATACTAGCAAGATATACAGTCACTGAAGAGTACAACATATTACAGTACGTTAAGAATTATCTTTTGTTGTTTTGATATTTAAGGCCATAATTCCTCTCAAACTATTACTTTCTCAAAATATATTAAAGGAGCAAAATAAATAAAGAGGTCCTGTATACACAGTTATTGTAATGCTGTGGGAATGGTGGGCAAATTCAAACACGGCTCTTTCCCACATTAAACACAGAGCAATCTGTAATCACTCCGGTTGACTTTACATGATCCTCACAGATCTACTGTGGAATGAGGGGATGAATCTGGAATAACACCGCCAGAAAGATGGACAGAAACTACAGCCATCGGAATCCAGACTTTAAACACAGAATGAGACACTAGAATCTGTGCAGGACTTAAATGAATATTTATGCTTTAGTTTTAAGCATGGCAGCTCAGGATCCTCATTTGCTTTATGTTGTATGAAAATGTAGGCTATGTTTATTCTTATTTATTTTTTATCATCTCATATTTTGTTTATATATCAGTTTTCATGACTTTGTTTAATGTGGGAAATAGTTTCAACTGAAACATGACGACCGGGCAGGACATCTTGAGTTATATTTCTTGACCAGAACAGATATTATGTGTGTGTGCGCACACTGTCAGTTTTCATGACATAAATACAACACAAAACTACTTTCACACCAATATAAAAAAAAAAAAAAAAAAAAAAAAACACTTTTACACTCTCCCCTTAACTCTCTATAGAGTGTAGTGTAGTCTTCACTATATAGTACACTGTAATTGTGAGTCAGACTTAATTGGCTGTGTTTGTGTTAATGCAGTGAATTCCCCCTGTGGGGCTTGCTGTAGATAGCCAAGTGCACACTAGCCTACAGACAACCTTAAGACTAACATAACTATACTAACACCCAACAAACATTCATGATTTGATTTCAGGAGGACTTAAAAGCTTCAGTTTAAGGAAGCCTGTTTCTTGTCAAGGTCAGTCGAGCTGAAGTAGCTGTGGCTAATAACTGAATGAATAATAAATAAGAACGTCTGTGCATGTGTGTCTCCTTACACCGCAAGAAATGGCATTCTATACAGGATGAGAAAGTCTAACCTTGAGAAATGCAGTGGAAGAAACACACAAACTGTTTGGACGGATGTGTAATGTGAGCGTTGACTTTATTCATAAGCGATTTGTGTTTCTTCACGCAGCTCTGCTGGAGACACCTTCCACAAACACACTCAAACTCCGTCAAACTCTTGCACTGCAATCCAACTGTACAGTCATTAAGTGCTTCACAGGAGACAATATGACAGGAATGTCAAACACACATTTCTCATTGGCTAAATACAGTCCCAGTACAAGGGGATGAATGTAATGACTACGAACGGATGATGACCGCACTTGTGAGGACTTCATGTGACGCCAACTCTGAATCAACATTCAAAATACACTCACCCGCCAACTGCCCGTTAATGCAAATTTCATGGCAAAGTTAATGCCAATCACATGGCAGCAGCCCATTGAATTTAGGTATGTAGACATGGTCAAGAAGATCTTCTACAGTTCAATCCGAGCATCAGAATGGGGAAGAAAGGAGATTTAAGCAACTTTGAACATGGCTGTTGGTGCCAGACGAGTATTTTTTAGAAACTGCTGATCTACTGGAATTTTCACAAACAACCATCTCTAAGGTTTACAGAGGATGGTCTGAAAAAGAGAAAATATCTATTGAGCGGCAGTTCAGAGGGCACGAGCAGTGGGTTCCAGCTGATAAAACGGCAACAGTAATTCAAATAGCCACTTGCTACAACCAAGGTAAGCAGAAAAGCATCTCTGAACACACAACATGCCGAAGTTTGAGGCGGATGGGCAAAAGCAGCAGAAGACCACACCAGGTGCCACTCCTGTCAGCTAGGAACAGACAACTGAGGCTACAATTCACACAGGCTCACCAAAATTTGATCATAAAAGATTTTTAATACGTTGCCTGGTCTGATGAGTCTCAAATACTGCTGCGAAATTCAGATGGTAGGGTCAGAATTTGGTGGCAACAACATGAAAGCATGGATCCATCCTGCCTTGTGTCAACAGCTCAGGCTGGTGGTGGTAGTGTTATGGTGTGGGAGATATTTTCTTGGCACACTTTGGGTCCATTAGGACCAACTAAGCATCTTGTCAACACCACAGCCTACCTGCATATTGTTGCTGACCATGCCCTTCCCTTTATGACCACAGTGTACCAATCTTCTAATGGCTACTTCCAGCAGAATAATGTGCCATGTTAATCATCTTATCTTAGACTGATTTCGTCAATATGACAAAAAGTTCACTGTACTCAAATGGTCTTCACAGTCACCAGATCTCAATCCAAAAGAGCACCTGTGGGATGTAGTGGAACTGGAAATTCGAATTATGGATGTACAGCTGAAAAAATCTGCTGCAACTGCTTGATGCTAGCATGTCAATATGGACCAAAATCTCTGAGGAAAATTACCAGTACCTTGCTGAATCTATGCCACAAAGAAGTAAGACAGTTCTGAAGGCAAAAGTGGGCCCAACCCCGTACTAGTAAGGTATACCTAAAAAAAAAAGGGTGGTGGGTGTATACATTTTAAAATACCAAGCGTAGCATTATTTTCCATATAAAAATTTATAACAATACAAATATATTTAAAATAACTGTTTAAAAATAAAGCACAAAGTCAAGTGTACCTCTCACTCAGGTTTTTAATTCATATATAGATTATTTGAAATGCAACTGAATTATTTGATATTGAAAGGAAGTTCCCCAAACCAAAATGCAGAATTCGTGTGTGGAAAAAATTTGTGTGTGGATATTTTGAAACCACAAAACATAAATAGTACACTCATATTGATGTAAAGGACGCTCTCCTCAGATCTGGCAGTAAAAGGCTGTAATGGCAGTGTAATTGACTTACCCAGTGGTGTAGGGGATATTGATGCCGCCCAGGTTGATGCTTTCACAGCCCACGATGAAGAGCGTGGAGAAGCAGAGCAGAGAAACGCCACTGCAGATCATCGCCAGCTTAGCAGACTCACGAGCTCCAAGCTTCAGCTTCTTGATGATGTAGCCCCCCAGAACAATGCCCACTCCTGCACTGGGCACTATTATGACCCCTGGAAGAAGAAAAAGAGATAAAGAAGACAAAAATCAGTCATAATGCAAAAGCAAAAACCATATGTAACGATAAATATTAGACCTGGAAGAATAAATAGAAAAGAAAAAAATATTATATAATAAGTAGGACCAGACAGAATCTGCAGACATTTTTACTGTTTCTGCACAGAATTTTGTAAAAAAAAAAAACTAAACAAAACAAATTGCTTTAGAATGGATTCATGCTGAATGATTTTGAAAATAAAGAAACTAAAAATAAATCAAATAAATAACTAACTTTTATTTAAGGTTTACATTGCAAATCCAAATAGAATCTTTTTTTTTTTTTTTGTAAACAAAGTTTCACATAACTAAAAGACAAAATATTACTTTACCTGCGACATTGCACATGAATCATATAAACATGCATGTTATACAATAAGATTATTCAAATTACTATATAAAAATCAAGCGGCAACCTCCCACTCTCCCTCGTGAAGCAATTACGGAAGTAACTGAAACTGTAATTCAATAAACTTGCCTTTGGGGGCTGGCTCCATACACTCCAGATATTTTCTGACTACAATGCTAAATTGGCCAGTTTTACAGCTGATAAAAACATGTTTACACTTTCGTACAAAAGACGATTTTGGTGCATATAGTCTTATATTACCCTTCATGAGAACTGAGGAAGATTTTTTTAATGGTTCATCCATTTTGTTTATATTAAGTTATATTAAGTTTGCATAATTAAGGGCGGGGCCACTTAAGTGACAGCTCGGTTTCGCTGCTCGCTGTCTCATCACCTGACTAGCCGCTGAACTTGGCATATACATCGTTTTTTTTTCTTTTTCTTTTATGTGGCTTTAAAAAGTCAATTGCTCTTTTCCTGCAATTATCAGAAAATATGGCATGCTGTGTGTACATAATTGTGCTCTCAAACAATTCAAGTTGCCTCTATTTCTCAGGCGAGTGCAATTCTTACATACATATACACCATATGTAGAAATGTATTAGTTTTATTGAAGATAATTTATAATTTGTAATTCTCTTTAAAACTCCAAAATCTGACAGATTGATTAGCTGTCAGCTATAAAAGTCTTCTGAAACGCTGACATACAGTGTTATACCTGGATTTCGTAAATAGCCTTGCATTTACTAACACAGACTATATTTGAAGTATTTGGAAGTAATTTGCGTTTTCCTCCTTTTAGATCCTTTTATAGCTCAAAGTATTACAACAGTGTTTTAAAAAGACTAAACATTTTGTTGATATAGTAAACAACCAAGCAAATGTGGTCAACACAAACGAGTCGCGGGTAATGAAGTATTAAGCGTTTTTCCCAAAGAAATCCCGTCTAAGCAAAATGCTAGCAGGCTTCTGTAGCTCCACTGACACTCCGCCTCTCTTTCCATGTTTGGTCACCCCCATCAGTGCGATGATGCACGAACAAAATGAGGATGATAGGCCACGCCTACTTGTAACTTCATTTGGACTCTTCTAAAACCTATGGGGGATGTCACGGATGCTAAGTCCATATCTTTTACAGTCTATGATAAAAACTGGATATTTACACATTTACATAAGTAAAATTATAATAATATAGTAAAAGAACAATATAGTTCAAAGTAAGTTAATCCCTATTGGCTCCATGATGAAGCACATGTTGGTGTTCTTGTGAATACACAGATGAATGAAGGCTCTGGCAACTGTCGAGTTACAATGCTACTAGTAATGTTTGAAGGTTGCCCATTTATTTCAAACTGCGATCAAAACTGACTGGAACTACTTGTGGGGTAAATTGTATTATTGTTATTCTTAAACCATACAATCAATAAGAATCAAGAATTTCAGGAAAAAAAAAATATTCATAGCAAAACCAATACAACAATACAATTTGCATTACATTACCATTAAATATGCCTGCAAATAATAATGTACAGCACATATTGTAAAAGTAAAACACTCAATGCATCAAGAAAAATATTTAGAATAATAAAAATAATAATATTAATAATAATAGTAGTAGTAATATTATACTATTATAATCTAGGATCTAGCATGGATAGATTAAAAATATAAACATAAATAATTCGAAGAAATAAATTAATAATTATTTTAATAATTCATACCAATAATACAAAATAATAATCAGTGTTATACTATTGATTATTACTCATGCTATAATACCATAATATTAATTATTTTAATATTAAAAAAAACATTTTTTGTATATGCTAATGACTGGATGAGCATTAACCCTTTAACTACCCTTTAAACTACCCTAAATATTTTTTTTTATTATTTGAAGTATGCCATAATTTTTACAATAAAACCAAAATCAAGTGTAATGGTGCAACAGGGTTATGTTTGTTTGATTTATTTATTTATTTATTTTTTATAAATCAACAATACTGTGTATAAACCATTATTTAAAACAGTCAAAATGTGGTCAACTATTAGGTAGAGCAGGCAGTTAAAGGGATAAAAAGACAATATACTCATGTATGTAATCATACTTTGATATGCAAAAATCTATAACGCATCTCATACACATCTATTAAAAATGTAAATAAATACAATTCTGCACAAGTGCAAATCATATCCACAGACATGCCATGTCCAAAAGGAGTGTCCACATTTTTTAGGAAGTTCATACAAAGAGCTGAAGGAATGTAAACATCCTGAACAAGGTTAAAAATACCACAAATCTGCTGACAACACAAGACATGGCTGTAGATTTCAAGCTCAAAAGACTGAAGCAAAGAAAAACAAAACCAAGCCAAAAATACCAAGGACAAGTGTTAATGGCACGGGAGCGGGCAGAGCAGTCATCAGTGTGGCACACGTGCTGCATCACAGCCTGAAAGTCAAATCTGACTGCTGGCACTTAAAGCTCACTGTAATCCACTGCTGGACAAGATCAGCACATGCCTGCTTTCAGTACTGACGTGACTGAGAGACACTCACAAAAATAAAATCACAACTCTAAAAGAAAAATGCACTGTAACTAAAATATGTTATTTTGGTAGTTAAACTGCCCTTCAGCATTCCTACTTCTCTCAATGGCATCTAAAGTTCTAATGTCATGCAAGATTAGATCCACACAATCCTCCATAAAGCCATTCCAGACAACACACACGCAATCATGCACGCACCCAGACAACCATACACCATGAGACGAGACATGGTTCACAAGAACATGATGAGATTTTTTAACTTTAAAGAAATCCTCATTGACAAAATGCAGTCAGGCCAACACAGTCAAATTCAGGCTTGATAGTATATATTGAATTTGTGAATAAAAATTACAAAATGTAGTTCTATTTTTTAATATTACTTCTATTTTGATAAACTATTTGAAGTTATAAATCTGTAAACAATGCTAAATGTTGAGTTGAGTAGACTATTAGTACCCGTAGGTTGATTTTTTTTGCAGCAAAGTTTGGCATTTGATACAAACAATTAAATCACACATATGCATATTCAATTCAATTCAATTCAGCTTTATTTGTATAGCGCTTTTACAATGTAGATTGTGTCAAAGCAGCTTCACATAAATGGTCATAGTAACTGGAACAGTGTAGTTCAGTTTTTAGTGTTTAAGTTCAGTTCAGTTCAGCTCAGTTCAGTGTGATTTAAAATCATTACTGAGAGTTCAAACACTGAAGAGCAAATTCATCGATGCGTAGCTCTACCAATCCTGAACCATGCGAGCCAGTGGCGACAGCGGAGAGGGAAAAAAATTCACCTGAAAGGAGTGAAGAAAAAAAACCTTGAGAGAACCAGACTCAGCTGGCCACGACCATTTTAATTTGTCCGCTGGCCAAAAGTCTTGTGCAAAGCTTCAGTCACCGCGGTGGAAGCTGGAAGCTGGCCTCAGCAAAGACTCGTCTGTCCCTGGAGCGTCGCTGGCATATGTGAGTCTGCAAGACTCTTTTATTCGCAGTATTACTTTCTATTGATGGCTTAAACTTTTTCTCCCATTTTTAGTTTACTGATCAAGTCATGTCAGATTTATTAATGCAGTGTATCATCTGATTTTCATTGAGCAGGTGTAATATTCATTAATATGAATTATTCGAGTTTTTTACTAAGGTGCCGCTGTCATCAATAATCATTAGTCATCATTTTGGTCAAGGGGCTGCGAGAAAATAAATACAAATAGTGGAGCAATGGCAAAATAATGAATAAAAAGAGCGAGGCTATGGTCAAATGAATAAATAAATGAAAAGAGTTTAACTGCTGAGAGAGCAAGCAGCTAGGGACACCGGCCCCCTCGGCCAAAAAACTGACTGGCCCAGCGTGAATTCTACCTGTCCTCCCGATTAGCCAATCCGGGTCTGCTTACTAGCACAGGGCAGTGTGGCTATAAAACCATGTGCACAAAGTGGCACAAGTGCTGACGAGAGTCACCTGAGTGCCACACCGATCTGGAGTGCCAACAGAAGATGATGACTTTATGTTTAGATTTGGTTTCCGTTTAGACGGCAGTCATCTATGAGGGGCTAAACACAACCTAACGTGACAAATGTGGTCAAAACGACCATCCTTGAAGCCAATCTAGTGATGCTCTGGGCTATATTTATCCAGCAGTGTCTCATGAACATCTGCCTGTCATGAGAAGCTCTGTGACTGGAGAAGATGAGGAGGTAAGTCTCCTTGAAAGGACGTCCTGGAATATTCATGCACAACTGGCACTGGCTGTGTATGTGTGTTGAGGAGGGGGCATCGTGGGACACACACACACAGAGGCAAAGTACAACCATTCCTGTAGGCCACAAGCTGGAGCAAAGCAGGGTGTTAATGAACACAGCCTACTGACAAATCTGTCGCGAACACTTAAATACAAGCACAGACACAAGCACACACACATATTTGTATCGTGGTTATTAGTGTTGTCTTGTCTGATGTTAAATGTACCTCCAGGAAAACGTAAAATTTAATTAGTAAAGAAATTAGTAATTATGTAAATCACTAATAAACCAACTCAGAAAAATTCAAATAATGCTCTAAAAT